ACTAGAAATTAACCACAAGAAGGTAAAGCTTACAAAATCATTCATGTGGAAGTAAAATAACTCTTTGCTAGAACATGATTAGTCACTAAGAGAAATAAAGAATGAAATGTAAAAGTTCCTTGAAACAAATGAAAATTAAAATACAACATACCAAAAGTTCTGAGATACAGCTAAGACACTTTGGGCAGTTCATAGCAACAGGCACACACATAAAACTTTTCAAAGAGAAGAGAGAACTGGGAGGTGGGGGAAGGAGGTGGGCAGAGAGAAAAGTGCAACAATGAATGAATGGAAATCCAAAGTCTCTGTAAACTTTCATTAAAATGAATAATAATAATAAGAAGAAGAAAGTTAAATTTAAAAAATGGTCTTTAAAATAGGATAACGATTTCTGTGCCACAGATTAGGAGCCTGATTAGAAAACAGAGTACCAGGTAGGAAATACAGAACGTTCTTTAAGTGGGGCGGGAGGGTGGGTGGGTTTAAATTTGATTGCTGCTGGCTTAACTGTGGCTTAAGTACGGAACTGTGATGAGCAATTTAATACAAAGTAAAGAGTATGCAAAAATGAAGGACTTAAATTGGAAATATTTGGTAGACAAGAAGACACAAGAAAGAGAAAACTGAGAGTCAGGGTAAAAAAATCACTGACACTTTCTAAATCAGCCTTGGAATCTATCCAGATGATACAAAATTCCTGACAAAATACGTAAGAGATCCTTGAATTATTTACTATAGGTTTCCATGATTGAAAATGGGCTTAAGAGTGTTTCTTCCCATCCTCTACTCTGCAGAAACTTTATTGAATTCATGGGTAATGCAAGGCTCCTTGGAGGCAAGGATGATGGCAAAGGTTTGCCACTCATACTTTGGACATGCTTCAAAGAGAGACTATTCCTTGGAAAGGGATATCATGCTTGGAAAGGTGGAGGGAGAACAAGACCCCCATAGAGATGAATAAACATGTGACTGCAGCAATGAGTTCAAGTGTGTCAGAGATTGGATGGATGGCACAGGACAGGGTTCAGACCTATGTTCATTGGGTCATTATGAGTTGTACTGGACTCTAAGCCACCTAACATCAACAACAATAGCTGTCGTTGGGGCAGACAGAGGAAGTATGAAGGTTAAAGACTGAGCAGAAAGGAAACAGCTAGTGCAGTGAATATTTATTGGCCTGCAAACCTTAGGAAGAGGCTTATATTCCAGACTGAAGCACTGTGGGAGGAGTACTATAACCATACTGACTATAATAATATCCCACATCTTCAGCCTGGAGACTGTTGATGATAAGAGTGAAGTCTGTTCCAGATACACTGTTGCTGAATCGGTCAGGGACCCCAGATGCCCAGTCAGATACTCTATAGATGAGCAGCTTAGGAGCCTGTCCTGGTTTCTGCTGGTATCAGTTTAAGTAGTTGCTTGCAGTCTGACTGGACTTGCAGTTGATGGTGACCCTTTCTCCTTGAGACATAGTCAAGGAGCTTGGAGACTGAGTCATCACTATGTCTCCAGTGGCACCTGCAAAAAGAGTAGGAAATTATCAGACAGACATTTATTTGTTTTAGCCGGAGTGGCATCTACTTCCTAAACAACATGCCTCTGGAAACTATGTACTTTGAGAAGTGATGATAGTGATAGAAAATGTTCAGGTCTTTTGTTCATAGAGTCACTATGCATTGTGCTCATCTTGATGGCAATGAACAACACAACAACAACATATTACAAATTAGAACATAAATTGGGTCCATTTTGGAAAAAGCCCACAGTTTTCACTATATCATAAAATTATTTTTCATTTCTACAATAAAACTACAGGAATCAAGCTATTTCTCATTTCTAACCAGAACAACAGGAACATAAGAACAAGAGTTGAAGGCATCATCTTGTTGGCTGTCTGATGCAGCTCATCCCATTGCAAAAGCCTCATTTATTGAATCTAAGCAACCACCATTTCCCCAGGAAAATTAGTGAATTAAAAGCACATGCATGTGCAATGGATTGTGAAACTAATATAAATCCAGAGTCAGACATAGTCTGACACAGATTATATGCACTTAGCAGATCTAATAACAACTAAAAGCAGAAATGAACAAACAACTTCCTCTTGCAGTGCAATCAATTCTGATGCACAGAAATACGAAATGTTACAGGGTAGAATTGCTCTATGGGTTTTTTGTTATAATCTTTATAGAAAGTCAGCAGGCATTTTTACCTCAGTACCACTGGGTGACTTTAAACTGCCATTGACAGTCAATTGCAAACTATTTGAAACACTCATAATCTAATGAATCGTGTCTGTGTGGAATAAAGAGCATTTTAACATAGTTCAAATACCACAAATGATAGGATAACTTTCTTATCAATGATAAAAAAAATAATCTCAAGATGGATCAGAGATCTGAAAATAAAGCCCAAAACCATAAAGTTCATAAGAGACAAACTGGGATCAAGCTTAGATGGACTAGTCTGTGGTACAAAGAGACTGCCAAATGCACAATCTGTTAAAGATAAAATCCTTGTACCCATCAAAAGCTTTTTCCAGCAGAGTGAAAAGAAAACCTACTGATTGGGAAAACACATTTGGCAATACCATTTCAGACAAGAGTCTCATATTAAAAGTCTACAGAATCCTACATGTCCTCCACAAGAAAAAGACTGATAATGTAATTACAAAATGGGCCAAACACATGGAAAGAATTTTCACAGAGGAAGATATTCAGATGGCCAACAGACACAGAAAGAAATGTTCACAATCACTGGCAGTAAGACAGATGCAAATTAGAACCACAATGAGGTACCATCTCACTCCAATAGCACTGGCAAAGTTTAACAGCTTGGCAAGTAATAAATGTTTGAGAGGATGTGGCAAGCTAGACATTCGTATTCACTATTGGTGGGATGGTAAAATGGTACAACCACTTTGGAAGGCAGTTTGACGTTTCCTCAGAAAGCTTAACATAGAAATTCCATATAGCCCAGCTATTCCACTGCTTGGAATATAAACTGAGACAGTGAGAACTGAGGGACAGATAGAGACTTGTACACCAGTGTTCATAGCAGCATTATTCACCACTGCAAGAACATGTAAACAGCCCAAATGTCCACCACAATTGACTGCATTGAGAAATTATGGTACATTCACATGATGGAACACTATGCAGCACAAAGAAGCAATGATTTTTGTACATCACTACATAACTTGGGAGGGACTGGAGAGCATTATGCTAAGTGGACTAACTCAGTACTGGATGGACAAATATTGTATAAGACAATTGTTTTAGAAATAGATAACTAGTAAAATGTGTATGAGGATCTAAAGGGGGAGGGAGGAGGCAGAGTGGTGGAGATGGGTGGGAGGCAGTAATCATGGTATCATATAGTTTGATGAGTGGAGGGGTGGGGTTGGGGAGGTTGGGGGGATCCATTGTGAGAGGCAATGTATACAAATTTTTAAGTACACTAGTGTAAATTTTGAAAAAAAAGGAATTGCAAAGAATAAAAAAGACAAAGAATGTACACGAACTTTGTAAAATAAACCACATATTTTATTTAAAAAAATAAAAAAACCTCAGCCTGATGAAATTTATTCAGAGCAATCGAAGAGTTGAAAGCAAAATAATAAAAATGGAAGGATGTGGGAGAGGATATTTTGCTCATTTTTTATTAAGATTTATAGTTGAAAATGTCTTAGCTCTAAAGAAACACTTCTCTTGAAGGACAAAGAGCTGAAAATGCTTACGGCTGGATTCCAGGGCTCTACAAAGAAGACAAATGGAAGGTAGACCCAGAATTTACCCTTGTGAACAGTCTCTATAAACCTGTAAGGAGCCCAGGCAGAGGAAGGCTACAGTTTGAAAATTAAGTGTGAATCAAAAGGAACCTTAATTCTGGGGGGGAGGGGGGAAGGAACCTAGAAACCATTGTTCTCGTACATACTGATCATAGATCTTTAGATCATTAAGAAATGGATGGGGTAAGGGGAAGGATCAACTGGTAATTGTGACTGAGCTTCAATACTTCTAGGAATTAAACTCCAGAATCTAGACAAAGTGTCTAGAATGAATAGTGTCCAAATTCACTATTTTGAACTTAGTGTAAGGGAGCCCAATGTGTGTTTATTAGGGAACAATATTGTTTTATCACATGCAAGTTAAATCTTGTTGAAGAGAATTGAAAAATCACTACATCAATAAGATTCAGAAGACACAATTTAAGCTATAGTTTAACGACTTTATGTTTCTGATTTAAGGTTGAGCTTAACTATGTATCTAAGTAAGATTAAATATTTGGCAACATGATAGCAGCAGTTAAGAAATCAAAGTGCATGTTGCATTGTCAAAATATGCTGTCAAAGACCTTTTTAGGATACTAAAGAGTAATGATGTCATTTTAAACACTAAGGTACAGGCTGATTCAAGCCATAGTATTTTCTATAGCTTCCTAAGCTTCTAAAAATTTGACAATGAAGAAGAAAGGCAGAAAAGGAATCAATGTTTCGAATTATGATATTGGAGAAAGATTATTGAATACCGATTATATTTCCAAAAGAATAAACAAGTCTCTCTTGGAGGAAGTGCAACTAGAGTATACTCTAAGTTACAATAGTATTTAGGCTTGGATTTTTCCTTGACTCTAAGCTCAGCAGCTGTGATGGACCATGTGTCTAATTAGAGGTTAAACTAGCAGAGGGTGAACAAGAGCTTTATCGGTGTTCATTAGTATTAGCAAGTCTGGGGCACACTGCCACTCTTACTCTCAGCAGTCTTCAGGTCAAAGATAGTGCTACAACAAAATACTGCTTTCCAGTACCAAGATGTGTGCTCTGGTGGTGTAGTCTATAGAGAATTGTGCTGTCAACCGAAAGGCAGCAAATTGCTGTAAAGCATCAAGAAGCCAAAACAAATGGAGGAGATGTTGGAGTCAAAGAGCTGAACACAAGATTTCAAAGGGCAGCTTGCGAAGACAAAGCAAAGTATTATAACATTTATAGTAAAAAGGACACTTCTAGAGCCATCCTGAAATACATTATTGTGAATGACAGGATAATATCCATATGCATAATGCCTCTTTCATTCAAATATATGCACCAACAGCTAGACTCAAAGAGGAGGAAATATAAAATTTGTAGTGATTTTTCCAGTCAGATATCAATTGAATATGCAACAAAACATCATTAATAATAATTATTGACTGGAGTGCAAAAGTTGTGAACAAGGAAGAAGGAACAGTAGTCAGACACTATAGCCTTGGTGATAGAAAAAGGGTTGCTGCTTTGAGGAGCATGGAGTCATGAGGACCATTCCCGGCTTATTAACTCGACCTCACATAGGGACTAAGGCTAAGTGAAGGGACCAACCAGTCTGGTATAGAGTCCAGCGTTACAACAGGTCCAAGAGTGTGGAATCAGAGAGACTTGATAAAAAATAGACATAAAATAGTTGGGAAGTAAAGGGCTTCAAGACTTCAAGAATCTTAAATGTCTTTATTCAGTACAAGTGAAGCTTTTACACAAAATCTTCAAATGATTAACAGTGTGCTATAAAATAGATAGTAGCAGTTACAGCAGGGAGTAAAACATTTCTTCAAGAGCATTCTTTTGAGACAGTTACCAGTGGATTTACAGGGGATGTGCTCCTAGTATTTATTTACTCAGAGTCTCATTAACAAGGTTTTTGTTTTAAGCATGAAAGTATTCTTATCAAAGCCCATATCAGTCAGTCACTTCAGATTTTCCTGAGTCAGAATGGCTGACAAGTTTAAGGCACTGAGTCTTTTTTGTAGTTAAACATGTCTTAGCTCATACACTTGGTCGAAGTCCTCTTTTAACTCCACAGTCTGGAACACAGAGAGAAGTGTTGACTCCTGAGATTGTGGGTGATACCTGTTGGGACCTGACCAGAGTAGGCTGAGGGTGAGTTGATCAGAGCCCAACCAGATGAAGAAAGGATGTTTCATACTGTGAGCTAGAGTTTATTGCTGCAACCTGATGGCTTGCTATGGATTGGACTTCGCTACTGGATGCAGATGAAGATGTTCAAATTTCCACATTGTACAGAAGACTTTTTGGCATTGTGACATCATTGTTCTTTCCGAGAATTGTTTTAATTGGGATAGGTAACTCAGATACTGTCCATTAATGCATGAGGCATGAAATAGCTGGTTTATACACTTTCACAAATGTAGTTCTTAGTGAGAGTATGATGTTCGACATCAAGAAAACAAAGACTTTTACCACTGGAACAAATTGGTAGCATCTTAATAGACGGTGAAGAGACTGAGATTGTTAACAACTTCGGGTTGTTTGGTTCCACAACCAACACACTTGGTTCTAGCAGCCAAGAAATCAAAAGATGACTTGCAGGATAATGAATATTGGATAATGGTAATGGGAAATTAATAAGGATGACAGAAGAAAAAAAAATCAATGTTTTTGAGATATCGTGTGGAAAAAGAGTACTGCATATCCCATGAACAACCAAAGGAACAAACAAATATGTC